CTATCGTCCTTTACCCAGTAATTTTCGGTCAGTGATGAGTCTGCCAGAAGTTGATTGGCAATATCTAGAAAACTGATTGAGGGTGCTACTTGGCCTCTTGAATCGGCCAGGGATGCCACCAAATGCCCTTCAGTTTTTAGGAAGGCCTCCCCCGCAAGAATTACTTGACTTCAAAATTCAGTGGTTGGGGAATCTGACTCAGAGATGCAGCATGTGCCACACATGTGAAGCCCTGGGTTTTATCCCCTCTAACTCACAAATAATGCAAACAAAAAAAAACCTTGGCCCTAGTGGTTTGTTTTCCAGCAGCAGATGAGAATCTGGAGGCTAAGAGATAGTCCTGGGGTTAAAGTGCCTGCCTTGTATGTGGCCAGCCCTGGTTTGATATCCCTAATTGTAGGCAGCTTAATTGTAGGAAGTAGTCCTTGGAGGATCTTCAAGCCTACCTCCTTACCCCTGCCCTGGGTTGACCCAGCTTGTTCCATTTGTACCATTGAGCCACTTGTCATCTGGTTCACAATTGCTGGGAGTGGCCTTTGACAGCTTGAGCTCTGCTTGGACAGGTCCCACCTTTCTCCCAAAAGAGAAATCTTGTCATATGGTAAAAGGAGAATGACTTAATCTAGACTGATGTAGTTTCTGAGAGTATCAGATGTATAACTTCACAAAAGTTTTCTTTTATTGTAGGGTGGTTGAGTTTGCCTCTTATGGTGACTTAAAGAATGCTATTGAAAAACTTTCTGGAAAGGAAATAAATGGGAGAAAAATAAAATTAATTGAAGGAAGCAAAAGGCACAGGTATATATATATATCTAAATGCACTTTAATATATTTAAGTCAGAGCTCTTTTTTTCCCTGGTGTCATACCACCCGCCACTTAAACCTTTATTCTCCTTTCCTTAGTAGGTCAAGAAGCAGGTCTCGTTCTCGGACCAGGAGTTCCTCTAGGTCTCGTAGTCGGTCTCGTTCTCGGAGTCGCAAGTCTTACAGCAGGTCGAGGAGCAGGAGCAGGAGCCGGAGCCGGAGCAAGTCCCGTTCTGTTAGTAGGTCTCCTGTGCCTGAGAAGAGCCAGAAACGTGGTTCTTCAAGTAGATCTAAATCTCCAGCATCTTTGGATCGCCAGAGGTCCAGGTCCAGGTCCAGGTCCAGGTCCAGGTCCAGGTCCAGGTCCAGATCAGTTGACAGTGGCAATTAAACTGTAAATAACTTGCCCTGGGGGCCTTTTTTAAAACAAATTCCCAAACCATACTTGCTAAAAATCCTGGTAAGTATGTGCTTTTCTGTGGGGGTGGGGTTTGGAGGGAGGTTGGGTTGGGCTGGCTATCTTTGTAGATGTGGACCACCAAGGGGTTGTTGAAAACTAATTGTATTAAATGTCTTTTGATAAGCCTTCTCACATTTTTGTGAATGTCTGAAGTATATATAGTTTGTGTATATTGACAGAGCTCTTTTATAACTAAAGCCAATTTAATTTTTTTGTACTAGAAAAAGTTTGAACATTTTTGTTCCTGGTTATTTCAAATAAGTTGATTTCAGAATTAGTTTAATGCCTCAGTTAAACTAATTAATAGCTTTGGACACTTAAAAGAGCTCTCATTTTGCTTGTACATAAAGGCTTTAATTTGAGTTTTTCTTGTAAGGGTCAAGGGTGTCCTCACCCCACCCTTTAACAGCTGCCTAGCAAAGGCCTAAAAGCAGCTGTTTGTTATTGATAATAAAAGATTCTAAAAGTGTTTTTGTCTGTTTGTCTAAAGGAAGTATGCTATTTACTACTCCCCATCGACATTTAACATCATCGCCTTGTATAAAGGATCCTGTGGTTTGGTTCTCATTTTTCAATTAAAAATATTTAGTACATTTGTCATTTGTAGATGAGGCAAAATGGGCAAAGGGGAGGCATTATAACAGCTATGGTTTGACAGAGTCCCTGGTGTGTGATCTTCCCGTGTTCTGGCTGCTAGACTTAATTGGCATTGCTTACTTTAGGGTTTGTCTACATGATTTGGGACACTAAAAAAAGTTACTGGAGGGAGCAAAATGCTTAAGGTGCTTTTAATCTTTCTCTTTCTGTCCTGAGAGACAGACGTGACAGTGTAAATGAAAAAAGCAGTGTTGTAATGAAAATGACTTAAGGCTCTACATTAATTTTTATTAACTCTTCGAGCTTTCATGCTTGCAAGAAATAAGTGCTTATTCTAGTACTGTTACTTAAGAGTCTGATATCCTATTCTAGCATTCACTGAGCACGATTTGGTATAGTAATAGCACTGCACTGCACTGTCTTCTCGTTCATCGATTTGCTCGAGCAGGCCCAGTAACATCTCCATTGTGAGACTTGTTACTATGTTTGGCATATCTAATACATCATGGGTGGCTTGCCAGATAGTAGCTATATACTATTTAAGTGTGTTGCTGGTAGAGTTCAGAACAATATAGTACACAGTGCCACCATTTTACAAAAGGAAATTGACCAAAGAAAAATCCAGTAGATAGTGGATTGGTTTGACATTTAGTATACAGGAGAGGAAATTCAGAGCCCCCAAAGAATTTTGGTGGTTGTATACACCTCTCATTTTGCTTGTACATAAAGGCTTGTACATAATCTTACTGGGATTGGAGGAAAGCAGAATTAAAAGCATGGGAAAGAGGGGCTGGAGCAATAGCACAGCAGGTAGGGCATTTGTCTTGGCACGCGGCCGACCTGGGTTCGATTCCCAGCATCCCATATGATTCCGCGAGCACTGCCAGGAGTGATTCCTGAGTGCATGAGCCAGGACTAACCCCTGTGCAACGCTGGGTGTGACCCAAAAATCAAAAAAAAAGGATTGCTTTTACTTTGGAGAGTTCTTGGTATTTTGTATTAAAACTTTGGAGGTTAAGAGAATCTGATCCTTTTAAAACAGGAGGCTGTTTGCAAGGGAGCATATGAGTAGTATACTCCTTAACATAAATGGATGGACGACACGGCTTATTTAAAACCTTAATGGTGTGTATCAGGCTGTCCCAGTCACGTTACTCTTGAACCATTGGACTATATGGGAATTTAAGGTGGTATAGTGCATGTGCTTGGGACTTCATACAAATTATGTCATATGTGTTTACCCTCAGTCCCCCTCCCTTCCCTAGTCTGTCCTATATAGGCAGTATCTTCAGGTAAATACTATTTGCTATACATTGAGGCAATAAATAAGGTTATTTATGCAGATTCCACAAGTGGCTGGGGGTTGATTTGAACCAACAAATTAGTGTATGTTTCTAAATCCAAGATCCGAGAAGTCATAAGGTGTGTGATCCTTAAGCAAAGTTTCAGGACCAGCTTTGGCAAGATGGTATAAATTATGTTCTGTATATATTTTTATCAAGTCCTTTAAAGTTTGAGGGTAACAGCTCAATTCTAGCCCTATCTCCAAAAAGGGTAAACTTGTGTTTAATTCCTTTTAACTGATATTGCCACCTAGAAAGTAAAGAGATGTAATGAGTGAAAGTGCTGTTATGATGTGGTGGAACAGCATGTTAGGGACCTAAATCAGTGAGTGAGTGAGTGATCTTTTAGGTTCTCTTTTGGCTATATCCAGCAGTGCCTGTATCACATGTCCATGTCCTTCCCCCTCCTCCCCCTAACATTACTTACAGCTCTGAAAGTGTGTGTAACCTGCCTGTGCCTGGGAGTGGAGTGTTGAGCATTATTCCAAGTGGTGCTTAGGGGGATCATGTAGTGCCAGGGATTGAACCCAGGTTGCCTGCTGTATTCTCTTTTCTCTGACCTCTTAAACTGATTTTTATTGTTAGTCCTATACCATTTGCTAGACTGATGTTTGAAATATCTTGGGATCTCATATCTAATCCTCTTGACTAGTAGAACAATCGAGAAACTATGATATTTGCAAGCGTATTCATCTTTCCAGGGGTGGAGCAGATGCTTCTTGGGATTCTATTTCCCAGTAGTGTCCTTTGATTGCATCCGAAGGTGGAGCTTGCTTGTTGCTTTTGCATTTACCTTGTCTGCTTCTGCATATTTGATGCCACGTTTCTGTTCTTAATGATTTTAATCTCAGTAATATCAAAAGGGAAGAAATGGGATCCAGGTTTTACTCCCAGTGATTCTTGACCATTGCTAGTACTGTTCAGTAGCTGGGGCCCAAGGACACTGCTTCTGCACCTTGGTGCCTGGGACATGTGGTGGTGGTTCAGGAGTGGGGTACGCACACTTTCAGGCATATAATTGATGATGATGTGGGGGGAAAGGACATGGACACGTGATACTGGAGACTGTCCTTGGCTCGAGGATCTGGATCTTGTAGTTTTGCGGGCCACACCCACTGGTGCTAAGGAATCGGTCCTGGCATGCGGGAGGGGGGAACCATTGATGGTACCTGCGATTGAACCTGGGTCAGCAGCAGCAGGGAAAGTGTTTTACCTTCTGTACTGTTTCCTGCCCCACCAGGATCTCAAAAACAAAAAGTTTTTTTTCTGGGGCGGGGGGGGGGGGCACACCCAGCAGTACTCAGATCTTATTCTTGGCTCTGCACTCAGATAATTCCTGGCAGTGCTTGGGGGGATCCTATGGGGTTCTGGGGATAGAACCTGGGATGAATGTTTGCAAGGCAAATCCACTGCACTACTCTGGCCCCAGTATCTCAGTTTTCAAGGTTTGAAATAACTGAGTCCAGTTCTAAAGCACTCAGCATTTATTTTACTTTTTGGATACAAAAGTTCAAATATGGTAATGGACATTTGGAGCGATAGCACAGCGGAAGGGCGTTTGCCTTACACGCGGCCCACCTGGCCGACCCGAGTTTGATTCCTCCGCCCCTCTTGGAGAACTTGGCAAGCTACCGAGAGTATCTTGCCCGCACGGCAAAGCCTTGTAAGCTACCCGTGACGTATTCGATATGCCAAACTCAGTAACAAGTCTCACAGTGGAGACGTTACTGGGCCTGCTTGAATAAATTGATGAACAACAGGAGGAAAGTGCTATAGGGTTAAAAAAAACACAATAGTCCAGAAGTTAGGTATCTTTATAATCCCTTTCAGGCATTGTTCCTAGAGATGGTGGGAATAAGGCAGTTTTGGTTCTGCCTTTCCTGGGCATCTCAGTATGCAGTCCTGTAGTTTGTAAGTGGTGATCAAATTCTGAGGTGGGTTTTGGGATGGGTGAGGCTTTGGTTTTCTTTTTTTTTTGTAGACCGCTTTCTCTCCTTCAGGCAAGACGATATTTCTGATAGTTTCTGTTGGAAATGCTGGAGAGAAAGACTGAGGCCCCACTAGACTCCATTTGTATTTCATGTAACCATTCTACTCTCTGTTGTTTTCCCATACTAGCTTTCTGGGTTGCCTTCTGAATATAATTCAGTTCCCTGTGGGAGGCTGGGCTGTGCGGTATGCATATCCCTCTCCTTAGTGTGGGTACCATTTCCTAGAGCTTGAATTGCCTCTCCAGTTGGGGTAGCTGTGTAGATCACTTTCGTTTTATCTGCAATGTAAGAAAGGGTCAAGGGAAAACAACAGTCAATATAAAAATATGAGAACACCAATGTGTAATCCTGGGAGTACTGTTTTCCATTTCAGCCCTTTATTCTGAGGAAAGTTGTACTTCTTTTAGCATCTGTAATGGTAGTACTAGTAATAAAAGAGCCTGTAAATTAGAATATGGGCCCATTCCCTCTCCTTTGACATGTGATACAATTAAGAGAATTGAGTATATATAATCAACTATAGCTTCCTGGCTGCAACAGAGAGGCCAAAGGAGGGGGGGAATTCATTTAGAGTGAAGTTCTTCTGTGTCTTGGAAACAACTGTATCCCTTAAGTGACAGTGTGGTGACTACTTGATAACATTCCAGTCTTTCCTGGGAGTGAAATTGCAAACCTGGGAATCTGGGGGTTTAGAGATGATTGGCATTTTGTGAATGGCAATTTCAATGTGCAGTAAATTTTAGTTGCTTCTAGTATTGTACCATATTCTTCACATAACTACACTGTAATATTTTTGTTTGTTTCTATTTTGGGCCACATCTGTTGATCAGGACTTACTCCCAGCTGTGTTTGTAAGGGATCATTCCTGGTGTGCTCAGGGGTCTATATAGGGTACTGGGGATCAAATCCTGGTCAGTAGCTTGCAAGGCAAGCACCCTACCAGCTAAAGGATCGCCCCAGCCTTCCAGTATATTTTGAAAATGGTTCTGAAATATGATCAGATACTTATTGGTGACTCTTTGACTTCTTGATAACCAAGATTACTATTTTTGAATCTTCACTTGCTATTGTAAGTTAATGAATTCTAGCACTTACTCTCCTAAGTGTTGCAAATCAATTTAGGATCAAGAAAAATTCTTAAGTGACTTCAAATTAAGTTCATGGGAAATAGTTAACAAATTTGAATAAGTGACTAAGAAGAATATACTACTAATATACTATGTTATAGTGCTGAATTATCAAGGTTTCCTGGTTTAAAAAAGTGTGTTCAGAACACTTTGAGGAGTTGATAGACTTAAATTTTCTTTAGTGTATAATTGGTTGTTGGAATCCTTTTTTAAATTCTGGTTATGAGGCTGAGTTGTTGTAATAGGTTTTCCCTTAGTTTAGGGGTCAGTGGTGCCGGGGCTCTGACCTGGTTTTAGTCCTGAAGAGTAATGCAAACCTATTGGCGTTTTAGGAATAGCTGCCTTTGGTACAGCTAATCTCACAACTATCTGGTGTCTATCTTAAATTCTCATCCACAATTCTGTATAGTTTCTTCAGTTAAAGCATCAGAGTTACATAATTCATTGTCCCAGCTCTGCCAGAAGGCAGAAGTGGAGTGCAGTTGATGAAAGTGGCCAGGGTCTTTAGAGTTGATACTATAAAACTAAGCTCTGTGAAGAGAGCAGCACCTGTAAAAGCGATTAGAGGTCTCCCCAAAAGCTTTCCATCCCTCTCGGAGAGCCCGGCAAGCTACCGAGAGTATCCCGCCCACAAGGCAGAGCCTGGCAAGCTCCCCATGGTGTATTCGATATGCCAAAAACAGTAACAATAACGGGCCTCATTCACCTGACCCTGAAAAAGCTCCCAGTTCGCCATTGGGCTACATTAGCACGAGATAGGGACAAATAGAGTTACTGGCGCTCGTTCGAGCAAATCGATGAACAGGATGAAAAGTGACTTGGTTAGTTTTTTTTGGGGGGGGGGCACACCCAGCAGCCATGCTTAGGGGTTGCTCCCGACTCTGCACTAAGGAATCACTCTTGCGAGTGCTTGGAGAACCATATAGGATGCTGGGGGTTGAATCTGGGTCGGTCATGTGCAAGGGAAATGCCCTACCTGCTGTACTATAATTCTGCCCCCTTACTTGGTTCATGAACTTGGTAATAAAAGTTGAAGAACCAAAAGATTTCTAGCCAGAGGTTTGCCTTCTTGCTGGCAGAATCAGATCTTTTAAGGGAGTAGAACTCACGGAGGAATGATTGTAGTACTCACCCTTGGAAGGTTTTATTTTCTTATAGCACCTGTAGATGGCAATGAGGAGAAGCCCTTCTGCAAGTTGGAAAATCATATAGAGCAGAGGGAAGAAGAAAAGTGGTCCAATGACCTCAGGGGGGAAGGTCACGTTGAGAATGGTGGAACAGAGTTGAATGTTTTGGAATCCAGTCTCCATGCTGACAGTGCGCCTGCACCTGTGTAGGTAACAAACAGCCTGTGTGCCTTCACAGAAGGACATGAAGCATGGCTTTACGTGGCCCTTCAGAGGCCCACTGAGCAGTCCAGCCCAGGAGGGTGGCTTGCGCACACGGTTTCCAGGGAAACGCTGACCTGTCTCTTAAAAAATTGACTTGACCTTGTGGATGCTGCAGACAGGTAGTTAGAGAACAGGAAGTTTTGTAGAACTTTTGAGTAGCTTAAAAGTCCAAATAGATAAATGTTTTTTTGTAAATACAAATGTCTTTTGTAGAATTGACTGAACTGAAGTTCAGGGAAATGGGTGAGATACGAAAAGGTGTGAGCCAGGTTTTACTCATTGCCTTACATGCAGCACAATTATTTTTTTTGATCTTCTAAATCTTTTTTAAATTTTTTTCTTCGTTTTTCAATGAATCACCGTGAGGTACAGTTACACAGTTACAGACTTACAAACTTTTGTTCTTACGTTTCAATCATAAAATGATCGAGTACCCATCCCTCCACCAATGCCCAGTCTCCACCACCAATGTTTCCAGTATCCCTCCCACCAACTCCACCCCACCCCTACCCCTCACTCCCGCCTCTGTGGCAGGCGGATTCCCTTTTACACTCTCTCTCTTTAGGGTGTTGTGGTCTGCATGGCCGTCATGTTCAGTCTGTAGTCTACTTTCGGTACACAACTCCCATCCCGAGTGGGTCCTCCAAGCATCCTTTACTAGGTGGTTCCTTCTGTATCAGAGCTCATGAAGCATAATTAAATCTCAACGTAATGCTTGAAAAGTCCGGGGTCCCTGTCTTGCTGACTAGTTTCTACTTGGAAGTTTTCATGAACACGATGCCTTAATAGTTGATTCTTAGGTTGGAGAGAGAGTACAGGGGTATCATCTACTCTGGTTTGATTCTTGGTTCCTCAAGCCGCACTAGGTATGGTCAAACCCTTCTCCCACCTCCAAATATGATTCTGTCCCATTACCTAGTTTGAAAACACATTGTCTTGGTTTTGCTTTCTTTTTTAAAAAAAAAAAATTTATTTTTTTGCTTTTGCGCCACACCTAGCAATGCACAGGGGTTACTCTTGGCTCTGCACTCAGGAATTACTTCTGGCAGTGCTCGGGGGGACCATAGGGGTGCTGGGAATCGAACCCCGTTGGCCACAAGCAAGGCAAAAGCCCTGCCAGCTGTGCTATCGCTCCAGCCCCTTGCTTTCTGTTTTATGGATTAAAGAATGGAATGCTTTTCCTTGGTGAGTATACATGTTATTAAAATACTGAAGGGATTGAAGAGAGAGCACAGGCTTAAGGTGCTTTGCATTGCACATGAATATAGTTCCCAGAGCACTGCCAGGAATGGCCCCAACTTGCCTGCGTAACCCATGTCTCCCCCACCCCCACCCCACTATTAGATGCATTGGGCGGCCCTTCTGAAGCTGGCTGTGGTCACTGGCAGCCTTATGACTCATTGCTTTCAAATAGGTTATATTCTAGTTTACTAGTTTTGTGGGAGTGAATGAAAGGGAGGCTATTGCTTTAGACTCCTGCATACAATGGCTGAAAAGTGAAAATGTTCTGGAACTGTACTGTTCTTGATAAAGTTCCCAAACTGGTTCTCAAACTGGTTCCCCTTCATATGTGAATTGGGGTAAAATTATGGCAGAAAGCCCCACCTGGTTCAGCTATGAGTGCCCGCTGGCTGGGCTGACATGGAGGTGCCCTTGTCAAGACTAAAGCAGAGGAGGTAAAGTGAGATAGCGCCAACACTGTCAGGTGACATGGCATTTGCATCGTGACATGGAGCTGCTTAAATGTTCTGTGCATTTCTAGGGAATTGAACCAGACTTAGAATTCAGGCTTTAAAGAAGCACTTTGTATGATTTGGTTACTGTTCCCCTGCAATATCTTTCCTGCCGAGTATATCTCTCAGTCCAAAGTTCCTTGTTTAGTTGATGCATTTAAACATATTGTTAGAAATATAGCTTTACATCTGACTTCCTTACCCTTTTCAGGAGAAACCAGGGCCAAAATAAGGACCCAGGGACAGGAAATAGGAAGTAGTAACACCCACCGTTCATTGAGGCGGAAGAGAGCAGAGAGAATGTAGCCCAGCAGGAAGCCAGTGAAAGGCATTATGGAGGAGATCGCCACTAAGTGTGGTGTCATGATAAAGGTGATGCTGTTGCCCACGTTGATGACTGAGAGTACTGTGACAGCCACACTAAGCAGAATCGTGATGACCGTCCCTACCTGTGAATGAAGACAAAGAGAAAAGGCTATTAAAAAACTGCTATAAAAAAATTAAAAATACTGGTATCAATAGCAATAGAAACGAAGAGCAGGGGAACCCGTCTACAGTTGGAAGCTTGGCACTGGAGCAGGAGTGAGGGAGATAAGATAGAGTAGGGAACACTGGGGCAGTGTTGGAGGGGAAAGTGCCTGCCACAGAAGCAGGTGGGGGAGTGGAGGTGGGTGGGAACTGGGGACATTGCGGAAGGCTAGTGGGCACTGGTGAAGTGATTGGTGTTGGAACAACATATGCCTGAAATAATCAAATATCTTTGTAACTTTGTAATTCATGTGATTCAATTAAAAAACATTTAAAGGTCAAGGATGCCTAATCTAAAAATCAATTTTTTTTTTTTTTGTAAAACTTGGTATCTCTGGAATAGTGGCTAAATGGGTGACTAACAACAGCTGGTTACTGCCAACTTGGCAAAGCAACTTCTTATCATCTCTAGATAGCAAATTTACAGTGAAGTGCTGTAGCTCTGAGGGAATGAATCTCTTAAGTTTTACGACTTAATTTTATAATTAAGAATTGAGTGATCTTGGAAATCTGCATATACATCCCTACAGTACTGTCGACTGCTCTGTTTTGGAGCTCAGTTATTAAGATACATCATTCTTAAAATCCCCATTGCAGCTAGGGACTTCTATTTTAGAATAAATTTTACATTTGGAAGCTGCTAAGAGTCATTTGATGTGAAACTGGTAAACATGATGAGTGGTCAAATCAGAATGAGTGTAGATATATATGTAGGGTTTTAGGTTTTAGATGTATAATGATAAATAGCTGGAAAAGGAAGTGCTTGTTCTTTTGTAGTTACCTGCAAATTGGATATGAAGGAAGTACTGTGTTTTAGAAGTTTTAGAAGTATTGTGGGTAATAAGGACATCAGAAAAAATGCAGGTCTGTTTTACCCCAGTTAAGTGTAAAAGCAAAATATATTGCTTTAGATATTTAATACTTAGGTATCTACACTAATATTTAATAAAACAAGGTGTTTTTTTTTTTTGTTTGTTTTTTTAAATATTGGGACCTCACCTGGCAGTGCTAAGGGATAATACCTGGCTGTGGCCTTAAGCAGATAGATAATGATAAGATTCATCTCCTGTAGAGAGTTTGCAGAACTGCAGACAGGGAAATGAGCAGAGGCAATTTTTTTTTTTTTTTTTAAAGAGGGCTGGGGCTGGAGCCATAGCACAGTAGGTAGAGCATTTGCCTTGCACGCAGCCGACCTGAATTCGATTCCCAGCATCCCATATGGTCCCCTGAGCACCGCCAGGAGTAATTCCTGGGTGCAGAGCCAGGAATAACCCCTGGGCATTGCCGGGTGTGACCCAAAAAGCAAAAAATAAAAATAAAGAGGGCTGGAACAATGTACAATGGTTAGAGCATTTGCCTTGCATGCCGCTGACCTGTGTTTGATCCCTGGGGTTCCATACAGTTCCCTGGGCACTGCTAAGTGATTTTTGAGTGTAGAGCCTGGAGTAACCCCTGAGCAGCACTAAGTGTTGCCTGCAAACCAAAAACCTGAGAAGTGGAAGGGGATTGGGTGGGAGGAAGCTTGGGCAACACCAGTGAGGGAAAGTTTACACTGGTGGTAGGATTGGTGTTAGAACATTATATATGCCGAATACTCATCTGTCAACTTCGTAAGTCATGGTTCTTAAAAGGGGGAGGGAGGGGCGGACAGCTCTGATGGGTTAAGGTGCATGCTTTGCTTGCTTGTTGCTGATCCAGGTTCGGTCCCCTGAGCATCATCAGGTGCATCCTTGATATTCCTGGGTACTGCTGGGTGTGTAATCCAAATCTAGTCTTGTATTTTAGATAATGACACCTTCTATTTTGGCATTTTACACATTGCTTCTAACCTTTCAAAACTATTCTTGTAACAATACCATGAAATAAGTACTAGTGAAAACACAGTTTTTGCACACACAAGTAATGAACCTGACAAAAAGGTCAAGTGACTCTCCTCAAGCCCTGCACTAAAGATGGTGGTGGCATTCCTGGCTCTGTGACCCGGGTTCTTACCTTGATGATGTAACGTACATATTGTGGCCGTTTGGCATTGATGACAATCCCTATGGTGCAAGGAATGAGAACCACGATCAGTGATGTTATGATGCCTTTGTAGGGCACCTTATCCGTCATATCCCCTTCATAGATCCCCATGGAGTAGACGTACAGGAGGAGGGGCATCATGCCCAGGGCAAAGAAGGTCGAGCAGGTGGTCATCACAATGCTGGTTGGGAGACAGGAAGAGTAGAGAAAAACCATCAGTAAGGGTGTTGGTGCCTGCCATGTGCCAGGCACCTCTACCTGGTCTGGTTTCATTTCTTGAACATAGCATACTGCTACCTCTGCTGCAGAGAAAGCTGGGAACTAGAGGAGTTGTGACTTAGTGTCATGCAGATTTAAAGAAGATAGGCAGGATTCATATTCTGGCCTTGCCAACTGCTTCGGTCCCTGTAGAGGAAGCCATTCTGGTGCCCACTGTAAAGAACTTGCTGTACGCACTTGTCACCTGCACGGCCCATTTTAAAGAAGTATACTTGTGTGATCCCTCTCCCTGACCGTTGCCGCCAACATTTTGCCAAGTGCCTGCTGGAACCTGGGAGACAGCTGCTCACAGCTGCTCTTTCCCACTGAAAAAACAAAAGTGAAAAGCTTTTTTTTTCCCCCTTAAAATCCTCTTTCTGGGAGTTAGAACGTGAAACATGGACAATACAGTCTTTTGACAATAGTGACATGGGAACAGCACTCAGATGCCAACAACATTCCAAGAACTAGCAAAGTATATGCAACAAAGAGTTACTGAATGATCCTATTGGTGGAGCAGAAAAGGAGGTAGGTAGCAAGAGTTCCCTGCGTGGAGAAGCTTGGACTATGCGACCATTGACCTGCTGCCCATCTTGAACAATATTCTCTCAGCACCAATAGTCTCATTCTTTTGGGCTTATGCTTAAAGTATTTCAATTGAGAGAGAAAATTAGAGCTGAATAATAAATCCTTTCAGCAGAGTCTTTGTAAAATTAAAACAAAAAACCAGACTGGTCAAAGGAAAGAAGAGCGAATGTGCCCGGAATTTGAAAAAAAGAACTTTATTGCGAGCTGGAGAGATACAGTGGGCAGGGTGCTTGCCTAGTACACTGCCAACAGGGTTTAGTTCTTGGCATTCCATATGGTCCCTGGAGCCCTGCCAGGAGTGATCTTTGAGTGCTGAGTCAAGAGTAAGTCTGGACCCTGAGCACCACTGAGTATGACCCCCCCCCAAAAAAAACCCCAACCTTCCCCCCCAAAACTAGTAAGACTTTGAAGTCATAGAAGTAACCCAAGTTTTATATTTACATTTTTTAAATTTAGATTGAGAATTTCCTAAGAAATATAGTCTATAAAAACTGAAGCTTCCATAGAAAGCTAAATCAACAATCACTACAAACATTAAGTAGTTTAAAACCTTTCCAGCAAACCCACAACTGCATATGATTTTACAGTGAAGTTCTATTAAATAGTCAGAGCACCCCGATATGCAGAGGATACCAAAAAGGGGAAATGTGTGCTGATTGAATGTTTTTTAGAGCTAAAACTGCAAGCAGGATTTTAGAAAAAAGGAAAATTAGGCCATTGCCACATAGGCAAAAATCATAAAATACTGGGAAATGAATTTGGTAATGCTTTTACAAAATAGTATACCTTGTTTTTTTCCCCAGCAACAAAAAGGTTTTTTTAATTTTTTATAAATTTATTTATTGAATCACCGTGAGAGCAGTTACAAAGCTTTTGAGTTTGTCTCGGTCATACAATGATGAAACACCAGTCCCTTCACCACCAAAAACCCCAGTAAACCCCCCTCATCCCACCCCCTCCCCCTACCTGTGTGGCAGATGATTTCCACATTACTCACTCTCCTTTAATTACATTCAATATTTCGACACCAGATCCACCATTATTATTTGGAATTTTACCCCAACTCTCAGATCTGCCGAAAAGGCAACATTAGGCAATTTGTTTTCTTTGCTGATTATGAATAGCATAGGTCACGTGATTTTGGAATTCTGATATTTTAATAATTAAATCTGGAGGGATTTCTGCTAGAAGCTGCTGGGTTCCGAGATTTGTTTCTGAGTCTCTGGGATTATGGCTTAAGCAGCTAGATCAGTAGCCAGAGGGCCTGCTCGTGGGCAGCAGCTCGGGGTCTCCAGCAACATAAGGACTTAAGGCATTTTACAAGTAAATTTCTTTTGTAACCAGATTTTAAAAAAAAATGGCAGGAGGACTGGAGTAATAGTATGAGTATGGCATTTATCTCGCACATGGCTATCCATGTTCCACCCCCAATATCCCATATGGTTCTTCGACATGGCCAGTTCCTGAGTGTGAAGCCAAGAATAATCCTTAAGCATCACTGATGTGACTCAAATCCCCGACTCTTGCCCCATAAAAAATACGGCATGATCATCTAATTCATTGTTCAGGAACTAAAAACCTGCACTTGGGCCAGAGAGATGGTTCAAAGGGCTGGATCCAATGCTTTGTATGTAGGAGACCGATTCAGTTACTATAGATTTTAAAGAACCTTTTTCAACTTTATGGTCCTCTAAATCCCACTGAAAGTGATCCTTGAGCACCAACCAGTTGTGGCCCCCAAACAAAACAAAATTTTTCACACAGATTAAAAATTGCTGAACTAGAAAAAGGTTATCAAAAAATCTATAGAAACAGTCAACAGTGGGAAAAAAATCAGAAAGTTCTTTTAGCAATAGAAATAAAGCAAGAATACCTGTTACCTCTTATCTACTTTTATTTTTGTTGGATTTTGTACCACACCTGATGATTCTCAGGACTGACTCTGCTTAGGGGATCACTCCTGGGAGAGTTCAGGGACCATATGGAGTGCTAGGGATCCATATCCTTGTGTGCAAGGCAAGTGCCCTACCCACTATACTATCTCTAGCCCCTTGTTTCTTTTTTAAAAATGGTTTTATTCTATATGGTATTTGCAGTCAAAAAAATCAAGATATAAAAAATATGTGGGGATAGGAAAGGAAGAAATAAACTTTCATTGTACACCAATGACAGAATTGTCCATAAAGAAAATACAAGTAAATTTCCATTATAACATAAAGTAAATAAAAGAATTCATGAGGTTCTGAATACATTAGCAATATAAAACAAAGCCTGATATACTGAAAAGAAATGAACATGTAAATTTTTTAAAAAATGAAAATGATAAAGATTTATAAGCATATCTAAGAGATGCAAGATCCTTATGGAAGAAATTTACAACTTTACTGAGGTATAAATAAATACAAAATAAAAAGCTATGCCATTTTTATGAAATGAAATGCCACTATTAAGATGGTCTTATTTTATTGAAACTCTTTTTGTAGACGAGAGTAATTCCTGAATTCCAGTGATCAAGTAAATAGCCAAAAATATCTAACAGGGTACTTGAACATGTGGTTCAGGGATTGAGCACTGACCTTGCATTGTGCGGCTAGTTTGATCTCTGGTACCATCTTTCATTGCCCCGAGCAAACCCTTGTGCTACGCCAAAGTGTGGGTAACTGCTGCATGCCCTCACTGACCTTTCAGACCCTGGCACGACTAATAAGTGACCCCTGGCATTTCAAACAACAGCAAACTAGAAATATAAAAATAAATCGGTTAAACATAGTATTCAAGTGGTAAGGGTGCACACTTTTCAGATATAAAAACCCTGATGTGCATTGTAGTTGAAAAAAATGTCAGGATAGCCAGACCAGATGGAGGCAGGACTTAGCCCAGACGCTCATGTTTATCTGAATTTGAACAGTGAGAAAAATGGCATTGAAAGTGATTGAAGAATTTTCTTTATCGATACAGAAAAGATAACCAAATCAGAAAAATATGTGGGGATAGGAAAGGAAGAAATAAACTTTGGCAGGATTGTCCTGTCAAATGATAAATTTCTGGGTGACATTGTCTATGTGAAAAGCAAAACTTGAAAGATGCAAAGAAAGTTGAGGAAGAAATCTTTGGTGAGTAAAATATTTCTGAAAGAAATCCCAACAAAACTCTAAGATCTTCAAGGAAAAATACTGGTCGGTCTGGCTAAAAATTAAGTCTGAACTCCCTTTGCTCTGAAGAAGCCTATGTTCTCTCTTGAGCACATATCTTACTTTCCCTTTCTTTACCCACCTTTATTTCCCTATAAGCTTGTTATATTTAAAAAATAAATAAGCACTTTTTCATAAGACAACATTAAATGTAAAGTCAAGCCCCAAACTTTGATCTATAGTAATATAAACAACTTACAAAGTAACAAAAATTATCACAGTTTTATAGAAAATGGTATATTCTAAGAGGACATGGTGTGTTTTTATTTTTAATTTATTTTTTGGCCACATCTGGCAATGCTCGGGGTTGACACTCAAGAATTACTTCTGGCGGTGCTCAGTGGACCATGTAGGATGCCAAGGATCAAACCAGGTTGGCCGCGTGCAAGGCAAATGCTCTACCGGTTGTACTATTTTTCTGGCCTCTGAAAGTATCTATTTTAAAAGAGGACCCTTGAATGGTCAAAAGAAATTTAAAGAGGTGCCAGACACAACAAAATGTAAAACTACCATTATGTTTTACCTGCACTGATATCTAAAAATTAAAAAAAGCTGTAAATTTTAAATAAAAGATAAGATATTCATAAAAGCAAAAATCTGTAAGCAAATCTAAAAGACTAAAAGCTCCAACAATTCCAAGCATGGATGCAAATGTGAAGAAAGTGGGACTTTGAACACCGTGTTGGGGGAAATGTATAGGCTGACTAGGCAAACTCACCTGTGAACCCAGCAAGACATGCCAGCCCCAGGGATGTTTGACAGCAGGAGAATGACTGGTACCTCAGGAAGCCTATTTACCAAGCAATATGGGTAGTATGGTATGATTTAAAACATGCAAAAACCAACAGTGCATCCTGTCTATGGACACACACATAGAACAGGATGCGTGGAGGTATGCTGAGCACCTGATTCTAGGAGGTGCTTCTTTGGGGGTGGGTAAGGGATTCAACAGGCATGCAGGGGCTTCTGTTTTAGCTGTTGTTAGCTCTGGAGAGAAGCTGCAGATGATGTGTGTGCATTTAATTAATTAATTTTGGGGCCAAACCTGGCGATGTTCAGGGATTACTCCTGGCTCTGCACTCAGGAATTCTTCCTGGCAATGCTCAGAGTACCATGAGTTGCCAGGGATCGAACCTGTGTCGGCCATATGAAAGACAAGCGTCTGACACACTCGCTCCGTACAATCACTCTGGCACTGTGTGGGCATATTTTGATGTCCTTGAGCAAAGAAGTCCTGCTTACTTTGGCTTGGCATATCAAGAGTTTTGGAATTTGCTCTGGGACTTGGTGTGCCCGAGTCAGACCGATGTATGGGAACTGTGCTCCGACTTCTGGGGCTGTGTGGGCTGGTGCACGTGCAGTTATCAGTGATCCCCAAAGGATCCTGAGGGACCGGGGAGAGAGGCTGGGACCTGTTCAGGAGCAACGTGGTGCACCTAGTTACCTCGGCAGGTGCAGGGAGGAGAAAGGAGCCTGTTTGGTTTCTGTCCCTCCTTTCTGCTTAGATTCTCAGAGTGCCACATGACCCCTGCTTTTGGTCATCTGTGTGGCTGCCTGAGGGAAGGCTTTTGAGCCCCTGTCAGTCAAGGTAGTGAAGGCAGGAGTCCAGGCAGTGGTGAGGGGCACATTGGAGTCTGGGGTGAGAGGAGACGCTTCCTGGAACCCGGGAGGCCTCCCTCTCCTGACTAGGCTGCCTGCATCACAGGTGTGGAGTGGTGTCCACACCTGAGCCGACTCTTGGGGTCATGTCTAGACTCTTGTCCCCACAGTCGTTAGCTCTGGTCATTGCTCTGGGCAGGGGGCAGGTGGGGGACAGATAAACCTGGGGGGGTCACCCAGTGCCATCACCCTCCTGGGTGATCTCAGTCTCTACTGAGCCAAGGTCAGTTGACTAGCAGCATTTTTTTTTTTGCTGTGGACCCCTGCATTTGGGTGGAGGGCGTGCCTAGTGGGGTCCTTGGGCAGGAATAGTCATTCCTGTCTGCTGTGAATCAATGGGGGCAGGGAGCAGCTTCTGGAATGTGAGGGATTTGCCCCCACACCCTTGAGCCCAGAGGCAGAAGCAGGAGGAGAGATCTCAGAGCTGCATCTTCACGTGTGTTCGCCAATTCTGCGGTGCCTGGGGGAGTCTCTGTCTCCAGCCACCCTGCAGTGGGAGATGGGGACCCGCAGTTCTCATTACTGCCCCCTGAAGGTGGAAAGGGGACCAGCACCCACCAGCAGCCTTAGCACTTGCACCTGGCGCTTGGATATGCCTTGTGGAACATGCGGATGTCCTTCCATTTCTGGAAGTTGTCAGTATTACAAAATATGGAGATTTCATATTTAAGCAAAGTCATGGTGACCTGTTGGGGGGATGTGCCTCCTGAGGGGGCCGCCAGTCTCCAGCCACTTCATGCATGTGTTTGCCTGATATCTGAGTGAAAAGTGACATCGGGACATCTGGTCCAAAGCTCAGTTTCTTCATTCTCGAAGGGGGTTCTTGGGCCAGAGAGAGAGCATGTGGGTTAAGACATTTTTTTTCTTTGCATGTGTTTGATCCCGCTTCGATCCCTGGCCCTCTTAGCACTGTCAGGAGTAATCCCTGGGTACAGAGTCAGGATTAAGCCCTGAGCACTGCCAGCTGTGGCCCCAAAAAACCCCAAAACAAAAATACACCATATCCTTTTAGAATATGCCATTTTCTATGCAACTGTGGTACTTTTCCTTGTAAGTTGTTTGTGGCCCCCAAAGCAAAATGTAAATACATTTAATTTTTTTTAAAAAAAGGTTCTCCTTGCAGGCAGTGAAATGAGGATTTCTGCAGGTCAAAGGCTTGGTGTGATGTCAGGCTGTTTTTGTTCCAAAGGTCAAGGTCTTATTGTTATAATCTGTGCAAAGGAACTTAAAGTGAAATTCAGTCAGCCTTGCTAGGAACACGCCTCCTGATTCCCCCTGCCACCTGGTACATACTGAGGGACAAGCCTGCCAGCGGAATCTGCGACAGAGTTTAGTGTGTGTGGGAAGTTTTTCTGGGCAGGGCTTTGTGGCAGTAGGTAGAAGTGACAGTCCTCAGGTGCCTGGATAAAGCAGTTAAGCAGAGAAACGGAGGTCTGAGTTGCTGGAACTGCAGTTGCTGTGGGTGGAGAGCCTCAGAAATCTGCATTTCTGGAGGAATGTTATGAGCACCTCCAGGCCGAGTCTTGGCCATCTGGTCACTCACTGTCGGACTCCTCTGAGGTCCTTTATGCCCTGTCCCCCTTGCTCTGCTGCCTGACACATCACAGAGCTCTGAGAGCACCCCCAGGCGCCTAGTCCCTGTGCCCCTGCTCGGCCGAAGAGAGCAGGTGCCATCCAGTTTGTGACGTGCCTTATCTCCTTCCAGTCTCCTTGCTCTGCAGCTGGAGGGATTAGAGTGTGTCCCCGCAGCACTGTCTGGCCTCTCTCTGCACGCTGAGCTCTGTGCTCAGCCTCCCTGGAGATATCAGTCGGCCTCCCCCTCCAGATCACAGGGCCCTGAGTTGGCCACGTGCCCACTGCTCCGGCTGCAGGACCTGTTCTCCAGAGATCCAGTTTAAATCAGCACTCTAGGACCATCCGTGGCTCCACCTGAGACCGTGCTAGCAGTTGGGGGGCTTTTCCAGGATGCCCCGGAGCAACTGAGCCCCCTTTGACCCAGCGCTTAAAATAAGATAGATGTACCCCGGCTCCTGCCTGCAGCCCAGCATAACCTCCGTGGAGTCCATGTCAGGCGCCCACCCCTCTCCCTCTCCCTCCCTCTCCGGCCTGTGCACTGTGCTTGCTAGTAACATCGGCCAAACAGCGCCTTCCCCACTCCACACGCCCCCGCTAGTCCTACCTGAGGTTCATGTCCCCCTTCACGGCCAGACTGAAGATGTTGGACAGGTTGCCCCCAGGGGAGCAGCCGCAGACCAGGATGGCCAGCGCCTCGATGTTGTTGAGCTTGAAGATCCTGCCCAGGGCGAAGGAGGTGAGGGGCATGATGCCGTACTGTGCCACCAGTGCGATGATCATCCCCTTGGGCTTCCAGAAGTGCGCCTTGATCTTGCTGTACTCCATGGTGCAGCCCAGGGAGAGCATGATGACGAGCAGCATAATTATCAGGCAGATGCTCAGGGCCAGGTCAGTGGGCCGCTTGCCGAAGTTGGGCGGCAGGGTGAAATTGACATGGTTGGACACGTTGAGCGCCTCCATCTCCTGCTGTGCGGCCGCGACGCAGCCCACGGGAGTGCCTGCTGGCTTCAGCCCCTGCACAGTCCTTGTTGCCGGTGCCGTCCTCACTCGTCTCCCAGGGCAGAGAGCTTCAGGACAAACCTAGCTCTGGGCAAACAGCTGGATTGTGCAACTGGCTGTGCTGTCTTTCTGGCTGTTGCTCAAAGGGGACAGAGCCCAGAGCCTTATCTGCCCCATCTCCCAATTCCTCCACCTCCGCGACCTTCCGGGGCTATTCTCTCCTGGACCACTTGGCCGTTTCTGGGACGAGAGAAAGGCAGTTTCCATCAGTTTCCAGGCCTTCTGTGCCTGGGGACTACTAGGGGTCTCTTCAGTCCAGTTCCTGATGCCTCAGTTTCTCAAACCTAGAGGGCCACCTCCTTCTGCTCCCCAAGGACATGTAAAGTCTTTGTTAATCTCTTCCCTCCAAAAAGTGGTCCTGAGGGGCCCCTGGCCTTGCAGCTTTGCTAGTGCCTGTGCCTGTGCCAGCAGCCTAGGAGTCTAGGAGTCTGTGGCTTGCAGAGAAGGAAGCAGAACGCAAGATCTGTCCTTCGATTCTCTCACTCTCTACCTTTGCCTTGCAACCCATCACCCAGGCTGGATGTGTGTGTGTGTGTGTGTATGTGTGTGTGTGTGTGTGTGTGTGTGTGTGTGTGTGTGTGTCTGTCCCCGGGAGGACTGTGCTCTGTGGGAGTAGCTGCGGCAGAGAGTGGTCACACCAGGGTGTGAGGTCATTCTGTGCCTGTCTCCTGCCACGGCAGCAGCAGGAGTTCGGGGAGGGCACGGTCCGTAGGCCCTGACTCGGGTGCCAGGCTTGTATGACCCTCCAGGGATGAATTCAAGCACACTACAGACAAACAGAGTAGGAAAAGTTGATTGAGGGCGAGTGTGCACTCAGGAATGTGGGCACGGGTGTCCTCAGAGGGTGGTTGACAGCCTTGTGCTAAGCAAGATGGTTCTAAAAGTGAGGCGGCACATTCCCAGGGGTCGCGTGGCGGTCTGCCCAGGACAGCAGCACTGTTCCCACCAAATTTCTTTTTTATGTAGCTAGAGCAACAATAGAATATTCATTGGAGGTGGGATAGTCATGATATTTTGGGGAGCAGGGAGGACTCGGGGTTTGATTCCCTGCAGTTAAGGTCCATCCAGATTCAGATTGTGCTTGGTCATATCTGGGGGTTGTTGTAAACTGTCCCAGAGCAGGTGAGTGTTTTTCCTATGCAGTAGTATTCAGTCATCCATTGCTCACTTGGTCCCCCATGTGTCTTCCTTCTGCCTCCCACCCCCTCCTGCCTGCCATCTTGGATTCTTACAAAATTATTTATTTTTGTCTTTTGGGTCACACCCAGCGATGCTCAAGGGTTACTCCTGGCTCTGCACTCAGGAATTACTCCTGGTGGTGCTTGAGGGAGATGCTGGTGATCGAACCCAGGTCGGCCACATGCAAGGCAAATGCCCTACCTGCTGTACTATAACCCCCAGGCTCCTATTTGGATTTTCTTGGCTCCAACTGATCTTAGATTCCAGTGAGGTTTTTGTTTTGTTTTGTTTTGTTTTTTGGGTCACACCTGGCGATACTCAGGGGTTACTCCTGGCTTGACACTCAGGAATCACTTCTGGCAGTGCTCGGGGGACCATATGGGATGCTGGGAATCGAACCTGGGTTGGCTGCGTGCAAGGCAAATGCCCTACCCGCTGTGCTATTGCTCCAGCCCCTCCAGTGAGTTTTGGTCTTCACTGTTCTTGCCTTTTGAAATGTTTGACATCCATAGCATACATTTTCTACAAAATCATTTTAGGTTTTAAAGGAGTGGTAGTTCCTACCCAAGAGAACATTCTTCTATTTTTTGTGTGTGTGTGGGGGGAGGGTTCTGTGTGTGTGAGGGGGTAGCACAGCTGGCCACGATCAGAGAATATTCCTGGTTCTGTCTTCAGGAGTGACTCCTAACAGTCCTTTCTGGGCGGGATGTGGTGCAGGGAATTTGAATTGGTGTCTTATCCCCTGTGCTATCTCTCCAGCCCAAGAGAATATTCTTATACCAAGAAGGTAACTTTCTCTAATCTTAGAACTTTGGTTTTAATCACTCTTACATGTCCGTTTCTCTATCTCAGTATGGTCACATTAGTCTCCCACAGAAAGGCCCCTAGACTAACTAGTTTGGAGCCCCCGAGCCTGGGGTGAAGTCTCAGAGTTGCACATTTGCCGAAACAGGTAATTTCTGTACAGAAACTGAAAGGGCAGGACATGATTAGGGGCACAGGTGACCACTGATACAGTGTGTGTGTGTGAGAGAGAGATAGATCTGGGCTTTGAGTGGGCTTTTCCTAAGCAGGACCCTGGAGGCCTTTAGACTCTTGCATGGATAAGACTGGTAACAGGACTTGATCTAGAGTGAAAATCCCCAGTTCATTTTTCACTGTTTTGGGCCACACCAGTTCATGCCTGGTGGGCTAAGGGGACTAAATGGGGTGCTGGGGATCAAAGCCTGCATGCAAGGCAAACATCCTGCCCTCTCTACTATCTCAGGCCGTAAAAACCCCCAATTCTTTTGACCAGTGCAACACGTTTATTTAAAAGAGAGGACATGCAATTCAGGAAATTTCTGCTAAGGCAGACCAGAGGCAGATCCACAAGCATGGGAGAGAGGCTTGCTCTTATAGGTGAAAAGTGGGCAGTGCAGTGGCCCTGTGAGAGCTCCCCCTACAGGCCACCCTGAATGATTTCAGTTTCCTGATTGAATTCCCACGCACTCTCTTAGGTCTCAATTGGAGTGGTGATTCCTACCCAAAAGAACATTCTTCTATTTCTTTTTTTGAGGGGGTTGGGGGTGTGCTGGGGGGTAGCACAAATGGCTATACTCAGGGGCTAGTCTTGGTTCTGTGTTCGTGAGTGACCCCTAATGGTTCTCATTGGACCATATGTGGTACTTGCCAGAAGACTGCCCCCAGGGCTATGCTGAGCTGCTGGGACTGTGAACTACATCCCCAAGTGACCCGAAGTCCCCATCATTTTTTTTAATGTTTTGTTTGTTTCTGGGCCACACATGGCAATGCTTAGTTAGGGTTTCCCCTTGGCTCTGAACTCAGGGATCACTCTTAGCAGTGCTCTGGGGCACCATATGGAATGGAATCAAACCTGGGTTGACTGTGGACAAAGCAACTCCCCCTCCTTGCCGTACTATCTCTCTGGTTCTGAAGCCCTTTTCCTTTTGAGACCTTTAAAGATAAGGGCTACACCTGGAGGAGCTGAGGTGGTTGGAGGGGAGGTAATTTGGAGCATAGAACTGAGGGTCTTGCATATGCTAACTCACTTGTTCTGCCACCTGAGCTCACTTGCTGGCTCCTGAGAGCATTCTGCCTGAAATGATTTTTTTGGTATTTGAGTTGATCTGGTCTTAAGGGCAGGGCTGGCAGAATGCAGGGCACAGAATCCTAGGAGAGAGTTTCTTTCTTTCTTTCTTTCTTTCTTTCTTTCTTTCTTTCTTTCTTTCTTTCTTTCTTTCATCAGTCCTGAATGATGGGAAATGACAGTATCCTTGGTGCTGACCGCAGTACCCTTGTGGGCTCTAGGAGATCACTAGTGAGTCCACTAGGTCCACAGTAGAAAGCAGAAGCATGTGAGTATGGCATGCCCATGGGGCCACCATGTACAGTAATATAAGTTGCACACTGCACAGTACTAGGGACAGCACCCTCACAAACATGTTTGCAAACATACTTGGAGTACTGAAGCCCAGGGAAGACATTAATTGGTCTTTTTTTTGGGGGGGGGGGTCACACCCGGTGATGCACAGGGGTTACTCCTGGATCATGCACTCAGGAATTACTCCTGATGGTGCTCGGGGGATCATATGAGATGCTGGGAATTGAACCTGGGTTAGCCGCGTGCAAGGCAAACGTCCTACCCACTGTGCTATCACTCCAGTCCCTAATTGGTCTTTTTAAGTGATCTCTTCTTAGTGTAGAGCCGGGAGTAAGCCCTGGACACCAATGGATGTGCTCCACCCTCCAAAACAAAAATAAAAAAACAAGCAGACAAAAAAACTATCTTTATGAATTTGGCCATTTCATCTCTGGTTCCTTGCTTTCAATTTTGGCCACTTGAGGACAAGCTTTTGTGCACTGCACACAGTCACAAAGGGAAATGCAATGGTGCAACCTCAACAATGATGTCCCTCCTTTCCCAGTTACAGCAAAGGATCTGGGCTGAGTGAGGCTGCTAGCATAAATTTCTTCAAGCAGTAGAAATAGAAGCTACTTCAGCCACAGTAGCTTCCTGTCACTGTGGACATTTCTGGGATGTGGCAGGCTCAGCAGATGGCTTTGGCTTTGGGTTCCTCATGCAATTGCTATCAGTTAGGGGCTGGGGATGAGTCACAGGAAGCTTCTTCACTGACATGCCCAGTGCCTCCAGTTGTCAGCTATTCCCCCATGCAGCCTTTCTGTGTCCTCAGAGCAGTGTGATCTCGGATGCTCACACTTCCCTTCTGCTGATGACCTCCCCCCAAAGGGATTACGCCAAGGCCTTGGTTTGGAAGCCCCAGCAATCTCACTTTCAAATATTCTCTTTGTCTGACAAGGTGTTGAGAAGTCCCAGATTCTAGGTGGAAATATAGTCCACCTCCCCGCCAAAGGGAAAAGCAACAGAGAACTTTCGGCCCTGTTTAATGCATGTGGATTATATAGCATTGCACGGATGGGCAGTGTCCTAATAAGCAGAATAGGAATGTGGTTGCTGGTGGTGAGTGAAACATGCTAAATCCAGACCCTTCCTGCCCCCTCTGCAGGAGTTCCTGCAGGTAATGGCCCATTCAATGAGGAGCAGTAACCGGTACCAGATTAAGTCCAGAGTACAATGAAAATGTCAAAGAGCAAAAGCTTCCAACAGCTGAAGAATATTCACTGGGAAAACGTTGCTACCAAGCAGATAGAAACTGCCCAGATTTCATGACAAGAAAACTTAAAAAAAAAAACACAACTGAACACAGTAGGGCTGGGGAGATGGCTCAAGCGTTGGGGTACATGCCTTGCATGACAATACTCTACAAGTAAAATCCCCAGTACTGCATGGTCCCCCAGGAATAACTGGGAGAGACTGTGCTGGG